TTTTAATTAAACTTTGGACTTAAGAGACCACTTAAGAACCACCCTTAATGGTGGTCTTAAGACTTTCCAACCATATCAAAGTGTCAAATTGATTTTGGTGATGATTGTTTATAGTTTTTGAATTAGTTTTTGGTTTTTGTTTTTCCAAAAACAGTTTTTATCCAATTAAGATTTTAGTTTTTGTTTTTAGTTTTCGTAAAAACCATTTTTTGCCAAACAATTTTTTTAGTAAATAGATTCTCTAAAGTTTAAGGAAACTAGTTTTTAAAAATTTAATATAGAGAAACCAAAAACTCATTTTTATTGGTTTTTAGTAATAAAAACGAAATTCTTTTTCTTTTTATTAGAAATGGTACATGTTAATTAGCTAATAATTAAATACTAATAATTTATAAAGATAAAATTCTAATAAAATTTTGGTACAAAAGATAACATTTAAGCAATAATGTGTAATCATTTTTTATGTTGCATGTCAAAAAAAATTTTTTATACATATATAATATTAATAATTGAAATTGGTCATTCATTTCTATACATAAAATTATATAATAATTTTAATAATTATTAGACTTATTAATAACACATATTATATTAATTTGCAAAAAAAATACCATTCAAGTTTTATAGTTTAAATTATATACAACAAATTTTATAAATAATTTCCATATTTTAAATATTGTATAATTTATAGTTATTTTATGATTTATAATTTAGTATAATATAAGTTTCTTGAAAATATAATAATTAAAACATGTTAATATTAAAACATGTTAATATATTTTGTATTATTAAATAATAATCCTTATATTTTAATAGTAGCTTTTAAATGTTTTATTTCTATTTTTGTTATATTATTTTAAAATAATGTATTACTTAATTTTAAAAAAAAATTAAAAACTAAAGCAAAACCAAAAACCAAAATCAAAATATTAAAAAAAAAAACAAAAGGTGAAAATCAAAAATAGAAAGTAAAAATCAAAAATCAAAAATCTTAAACCAAAATCTAAAAACTAAAATAAAAAACTAGTGTAAACAATCATCACCTTTAAGTTCTAACAACACGCGACTTATGCTTTTTAACAAAAAAAAACGACTCATGCATCACCGAAAAGAGGCATGTACATGTCCGCTCGACATTAAACAGGCAATGTTATAGAAAGTTTGGGTTTAATGGCTCAATTAGTCTCGAGGAGTTTTGTCAACTGAACTTCTTTTGTCTACCCCAATGAATTTTTAACAAATCTTTGTTAAAGAATAAAAATAGTGAATTCCTCTCGACTCTTTCAAAATCACACATCCTCTCGACTCTTTTAAAATTACACTCTTCCCATGAAAACAGATGGAACATCAACAAGTCTAATTTTATAGAAGGTAAACTTTATGAAGACCGTACTAATATATTAATAATACTAGTGTGAAGTCAAGTTTTGATAGTATAAATAGAGATCTCTCACATACAAAACTGCATTTCAAACAGTGTAAAGATTTGAGAGAGTTGTTGGGGTTTCAAGCAGTGTAAGCACTCTTCGCGCCCCTGTCCAGCTTCTTGGCATCCTCCTGAAGAAAACCCAAACCCAGACAGACAGTGAGATATATATATATATATAAATTTATGAATAAGCATTCAAGAAAAGCTCTCTTCTTACGTGGATGATGAAACCAATGCTGTTGTTGTAATCAATAAACTCCTTCCATTGTCTCCCAATGCTCACCTGCAACATCAAAGTAAACGAAATTTTTTATGTCTTTATTAGCCGAGAGAGACAGTTTAATGTAGTCTTTGTCCACAAATGATCTTTTTACCTGAGCAGCTTCGTTGGAAGCGTTCTTGGTCCAAATAGATATCCTCTCTTGCTTTCCTCTAACGTTGACAACAGCTCCGCATATCTCATCTCCATGGTCAAATTGTTCTCCAATCAACGCAAGCAACTACAGTTAACAATAAAACCCAATAAGACTCGAATGGATTTTGAATCATGTGTTCAAGTAAGAAGAATAAAAAAACACATACGGTGTAAAGCCAGGGCTTATCAGACTTCTCCTTAGGGAAGTTCATAGTCCATTTGCCTCCATTAGCACAAATAGGATCCTCCCACTTAGGTTCGATATTGTGTTTGAAACAGTAGAAGTCAGCTCCGCCAGCTAACTTGCTCGGACCCCGCATGTTATTGTACAGACTGCAACCAAAGTAATAACAAAAGACAAGTCCTTAAATCGCACTGAGAGAGATTCACAACCTAAAACAAGTAAGAAGGATGATTCCAAAAAAATTAAGCCCTAGTGTAACCCTGGTTCAATGTATTAGCTCTTGTGAAGCAAACTACATGAAAAAATATAACCTATGGTGTAATGAGTGTATATAAACATACACGATAATACAATAGCATCCAACAGCAGTAACAGAAGTAAGAGTGATTCTTCAGAAATAGACAAGAACAAGTGACTTCACGGAACCAAACCCAACAAGAAAGAACATAACTTTCCTCGAGAAAACATGATCTAGACAAAACCAAACTAAAACCCATGTCGCAAAATCAATTGAAAGAACAAAAAGCAGATAAGAACAAGTGACACTTCAACGAACCTAACCCACCAACAAAGAACATAACTTTCCTCAATCTAAACAAAACCAAACTAAAAAACCATGTCGCATAATCAATTGTATTGTTATATTATGTTGCCTAACCTCCAGAACTCCTCGACGGTGGAGAAAGTGAAGACAGATCGCAAAGAGCTTCCCCAAGTAGTCTGCTTTGATTTAACAGAAGGGTTATCGAACCAGAAAGTCCACGAATGCTCCAAGGGGTGGGATTCAGGAACCGCCGATTTGCTCCCCGATTCGTCTCCGTCTCCGTCTCCTTCGCCGCCGGCGATCTCTCCTTCCTCAGCATCGTCGCCTTCTTCATGGTAACGATCAATCGGATGATCTGTAGGATTAGGGTTCGCTTCTTCCGTGGGAACAACAACAGGCTTGGAACTGTCTTCTACCGCCATTCTTAAAACTCGCCTCTTTCTCTTTCTCTTTCTCTTTTTCTTTCTATCTCCGAACGATGGATGGATGGATCCTACTTCTGGTGTAGGGTTAGTTGTGATATGACGCCGTTTTCTTCGCGTGACGTAGTTTATGCATTTTCTTGTCTTTGGGCCTTATTATCGAAACTCTAACGGGCCTTTTTCATTGGGCTTTGATTTCTGGAGGTTCAATCTCTTTGTTTCTACTTTCCATTGACACTGACACTGACACTGATGTTTGTAAAGTATACTTTACGATGATCATTTTTTGTTAACCGTAGGCTATATTAGCAAAAGTCCAACTAATCTCACATAAGACATGATTTTATTAAAGTTTGGCATTATTGTTTGGCCGAACCGAAATTTTAGGTTCGATGAAAGCTAACTCAAAATCAACCGTTTCCAAGTCAACTCTTACCGCCAAGCCACGGCTAACTGCTTGGGTAAATGGTAAGAGCGTTCACGATTGTATTATCTGGAGGCTTTAGAGAAGACCTTTACGTGACTAATAATTTACCGATTAATTAATTTATGTATGACTCTGTCTGCATAAGTAATTTTTAATTATAGGGAGTAACGAGATATCTGACATGGCCAACTCACAACCACTTGACTGATGTCCCTACTCTCCCCATATCATTTGTCCTAAGACTATAAATAATAAAATTGAAAAGACTCCTGTTTTTTTTGTTTCTTAACGTTTATTTAATTTATGCCGACACTAGTCACATTACAAACTGCAAACTCCAGTTCTTAAAAAAATGATTTCATGGCTCCACCAAATTGTTGTTTTGGGTCTATTTTAAAAATTCATGGAACATAACCAATGTTACTACTGCAGCCTTCAGTAATGCAATGAGTTAAATTAAAATTTATCACCCACTGCAATATAATATCGTGGCTTCAAATCAAAAGATTGACTAGTTAATATAACTAAGCTAAATAAAATCAATTCACGACCTTTTAGTGTCTATATTTACACATTTTAAGAGATTCATCAGAGAGTTGATACATCAACACTGTTGTAATTAAAAAAACATTGTTGTAACAAATATCTTTTTTAATCATTTAGACAAAACTTCAACCATCAAACATGCATAGTAAGCTTTTATTTTAGTAGTGTTAAGTGGCAACGATTTTATCTTGGTTCTCGGTATTATCTCACCCAATTAAGACCAGAATTCCTTTCTGTCTTTGATTTTCATTAATAATAAACTAAAAAAATGTTTTGGTTCTTCCCTCAGTAAGCAACACACACGAAAACTAAAAAAAAAAATATTTACAAAAAATTTCCTTGTTCACATGAATTGAGATGACTTAAATTTTGTAAAATTGTTCAAACGCTGATACCAAACAAAACAAATGTGACACAAATACAATATAGATGACTTAAGCTGAGTAAGTTTAAAATAGGACATAAATCAATAAAATAAGAAGATAATTGTCTTAAAAAATCCTATGTAAATATATGGTCCGAATTCATATGTAAATATATGGGTTGAATTATAAAGGAAGAATTTATATATATATATATATATATATATATATATATATATTTAATATAGTACAAATAAATCATTATATTTTTTGTTTTATATTTATAATGAAATTATCTTTCTACTTTCTTAATTTAGTAAAATTATATCTAAAACCACATTTAAATTGATAATAAAACCAATATGAAATATGAATTTCAAAAAACTAACAAGTGTTACACTAAAATGAAAAATGAATTTCAAAAAGCTATCAAATGTATATACACTAAAATAAATTATTCTCTTATTTTAGAAAAAAAATATAAAAAATAGAAAAAATATTTTGTTTATAAATTAATAATTATAAATTAATAAAATACTATTGAACATTATTAATTTATAAAGTTTTTACCATACAAAATAGATTTGGCAGTAAATGTCAAGGAACAAGAAACCCTCTTCACGTGTATAAAAACCACACAAAACTTTCCCACTTACCACCATTTGAGTTTTGAAACTTTACGGCTAACCCCAAAAAAAAAAAAACACAAACACACTTTTTGTTTTCTTCTAGATTTACCGAGAGAAAAAAGAGGAAGAGACAACCCACGATCCTCCATAGCTGTACAGAGAAAAGAAACCCTAATCAATCATGCCTTCAGGTGCTAAGAAAAGGAAAGCCGCCAAGAAAAAGCAGGAACAAGCCTCTTCTACTCAAATCAATCTCAAATCCAACAACCATGCCCAAAGTAACTCTTTTGCCTTTTTATTGTCTATCTGTATCTCAATTATTCATTCACACACACGTTTAGGCGACCTTTGTTGATTTTTGGGTCTATTCTCTATATATAGATTCTTCAAAGTTTAGATTTTTATTGTTGTGCTCATTGTAACAATCTAATGGGTATCTTTTTCTTTTTAACCACTCACTGTAAATATCTGTTTTTTTTTTCCGGCTAATTATGATTGAAAGTTTAAATCTTTTCCTGTTTTTTTTTGGTAGATCTGTGTTGCTCTGTTCCAGTTTGGTCTTTTTAAGGTTTGATTCTGTAGGTGTGGATTTTGACTTGAAGTACAGTCAATAAGTCACTCTTTGCTGTGTGATGTTATATTGTTTGTCTGTTCTGAAACTGATTAAATTTGTTAAAAGCAGGATCTACTGAGAAAGAAACTGTCAAGGATACTGATGAGCGTATAGAGATCACTGATTCAAGCCATGACCATGACAAGAGCTCTAGCAACAACAGTAGTAGCAGCAGCTCGGATGATGAGTCTCAGGAAGTCAAGAGTAAAGATGGTGATAAGGAGGAGACTGAAGTAGTTGTTACTGTGGTTCCAAGTCAACCTGTTCCAGTTGCTGGAGGTGCTCCCTTCATTGGTTCTACTGCTAATGTGATTGTTGAGAATACCGGTTTGATGGATTCAACTACTGATCCAAACACTGAGAACATTATTGAGATCTCCTCTGTTGATGCAATAGTCTCAAACGAGCCTGCCGCTGAAGTTTCTCTTGCATCTGATGAGATTAAGCAGGCCTCTCCAGGTACAACTGGCTCTGATAAAAAAGAATCCAAATGTGTTCCTGAAGGCAGCAAAGAGTCTGAAGTTGTCATTTCTCATGAGGAAGAGGTGATTCTCATCGTTAATTTGTGTCGCTTATGTTTACCATTAAAAGACTAAACTCAATTTTTTTCTTTCTATCAGGCTCATGTGATACCAACACATGGAGTTGCACAAAGAACCTCATGGTTAAGTTGTTGTGGCTTGTTTGATGTGATGTCAGGATCCAGTAGATAAGCTCAGGTACACCCCCAACTTATTATCTCATTTATGTGATCCACTTAGAACCGAGAAATCGAGTACCATATGAAAGTTATTCGTTGATCAATGTCACTGTCTAGTGAGCTGCGAGTAAAAAAGAGAATTAGCCTAAATCCTGATTTGCTTGTTGACCCTCCTGTTCTGTTCATTTGCAGAAACTTGAGTCGCCTATAAACTCAGGAAGCTGCAGTATGTTAAATGTAGGAACTTGATGAATGTCTCTCTTTCACTTAAGAACATAAAACATACCTTTTTTTTTTCTAATATGAAATAGAACTCAGCTTCTAGTAGTCTTCATAGCAGGCATGTCTGCATTTTCTTTATGCAAGTCCTTACAGATTCTCTTCCCTTCCGCTCTGTACTATTACTTGTCTGTTGTTTTTTGTTCTCTCAGTTCCTGAGAATGTTGTTGGCCAATTTATGTAATGATTAAATCACTACCATGAGCTCAAAATATATTTTATCTTAGCATTAGCACTTCTTATAGAAGCTGCAATGTTTGGTTCTATAATGCAAATACCAGATTCTACAAAAACAAACTCTGATCCAAGAACACTAAAACTTCAGAATGGTTATTCGTATCTGCTCAGAGACTTCCATATTCATATGCTTTCTTTTGATCAAACTATGAAAAAGCTCAACAATTACATCTCAAGAGACATGGGCCTCTCTTGAATTCAAATTATTGTTTTTAACTATAAAGAAAACTGCAAAATATCTCCAATTGTGACAATTTTATCAGTAGAAAACTCCAATATCATTGGGACTGATCACCCATTGATTTCCACCACATGTGTAAAGCTACGACTCAATACTGCTAGCTAGTTACAAATTAAGGGTTAGAAACTTAGAAATTCTCAAACCTCTACATGCCAACTCTTACGAATGCTATAATCATAACATCACGTGACAAGCACACTTGCACACGTTCGTAATTTTGTGACTTATGTTATGTATGAGTGATGCCTATTATTAAGGCTGACCCTGGGACATGCTAAGTAAAACATTTGCTACATGTCCCCAAAATTTTTGAAAAAAATTACATGAATATAGGTCCCAAAAAAGTTTCCAGATTCCCAACAATTTTATTTTTACATAGAAATAACAACATGCCTCCAAAATTTCAGGATCGGCCTATGCCTATACATTTATGATGAAAAACTGAGAACAAAGAGACATGTTGCTGCTAAACAGACAGATATTTTCTAAAGAGAATAGAGATAACGAAGTAATGGAATACGAGAAGATCGCAAAGTAGAAACCACCAAAGATGGTTTTATGATTATCATGCATCTGATGCAGAGGAGCAATGGAATGACTCTTGAGAAACATTATAATCTTGCTTCTTTTCGCTGTTTCATTTTTCTTTAATAGGATATAAAGTAGATGTATCATATTACTAACATATGAGTACTCACTCTCACCCGATTATATGATAATCACACACGACATATAACTAAGTTAGTTTGAGAGGTCGGTCTTGGTCTCATGAGTTGCCAATTGCACTATATATACTTTGACTGTATTGGCCTTGCGGCCCGCAAATTTTGATTAAAACTCTGAGCCCTAATAACACATCAAACAACAAGAGTGTTGTGTGTGAAAAGCAAAAGTGTTTGATAGTTTCTAAGCAGTGGTGAAATCAAAATAATTATATAGCATTCCAGAACCGTATACACACATCATAAGTTAGAATTCAGACATACGTTTTTCTCAGACGCTTTGATTTATGTAAGAACAATTTTCTGAATGCATTTTCAATTTAAGAACAAATACCGCCAGAGACGTTTTACTACAAAAAAACAGAAAAGTACATCTTGAGAAAACACACATATATGCAAAATGCACTTCTGGCTACTATTTTGGGAGGGAACTTTTACATGAACTACATGTGTATGTGTGGAGTGAAGATATGTCCAATCACCAATCCGCAGAACACGCCATGTACATAGGCTATCACCACAGATATCCAACTTATCACCTCTTCTTCTTCTGGCTCAGAAATATTGTCAGATTCTTGAGGTGTAGGATTAAGGCCATGAGTTTTCCCACATATGGCTTCGAGACTGTAGAATTTGGGGTTACCCATGAATGATGAACATTTTTGTCTTTGAAATTGTGTGATTCGTGGTGTTGGACCTTGGAGATTGTTATAGGAGAAGTTCATAATCGACAAAAAGGATAGGCTGTCAAGATTTTGAGGAATCTGACCTGGCTGCTGATTCTGAGATAGGTTTAAAGCCTCCAGATTTTTCAGATTTTCCAGTGATTGAGGTATATTGTTTGTGAAGCCATTATCTGACAAGTTGAGAAAATGCAATCCTGTCAACAATCCAATAGATTCTGGTATCCTTCCACAAAAATTGTTTCTTGAAAAGTCGATACCTCTGAAGTCTGTCCGAACCATCTCAAATAATGTATCCACTCTTTTATTCACCATTTCCATCAAATTAACACTGTAACCATCTCCCATGTATTCACTAGCTCTTTTGGTTAAAGTTGTCATTTCACGCCAGATGGAGAAATAGAAAGGTGGCAAAGTTCCATTAAAGTGGTTATGTGATATGTCCATGATTTTTAAACTTTGGAACCCAACAGAGACATGAGGATGATACAAGGTCCCGTATAGTTCGTTTTCTTGGAGGATTAAGATATTTAATGACGGTAGAAAACCCAACCAAGACGGAAACGTATCTCTGATCTTGTTGCTTTTCAAATTTAGAAACTCCAAAGAAATACAGTTGAACAATTATCGTGGAAGTTTTCCTTCCAACTGGTTGTTGCTGATGTCAACTGACACTAAGTTTGTAGTATTGACAAATATATCTGGAAGTGTTCCACTGAAACTGTTGTTTCTCAAATTTAGCGTTGTGAGATCAACGATGGTATTCGTTAAACATAGAGGAATAGAGCCGTTGAAATTATTGTTGGACAGATCTAAGAGGAGTAACGGTCAAAGCTTGCAGATCCAATGGGGTAATGGTCGTCGTAAAGAATTTGAACTAACATTCATTGACTGGATATGCGTCAAATCAAACACTTCAAAGGAATTTCCAAAACTGCTGAAAGAGTTGTGAGAAATCGTCAAATCCAACATATCTCCTCCTAACCAACCTGGTATTTCACCTTCCAAGTTATTGTTGTAAATATCAAGATACTTAAGTTTGGCTAGATTGGGGACTGATCTAAACTTTCAAGATTGAGAAATGTTGATATAGATATTGGGATAAGACCTTCAAATTTGGTCTGCTGAAGGAATAGCATTTGAAGTTTAGAGGAGGAAGATATATTTCTGAATTCTATAGATCCTTTGAACTGGTTGTCCCTTAAACTAACAAATTTTAGCAAGGAATCACGAACAGATGTAGGAAAAGACCTGAAAAATGAGTTTCCACCCACATCAATATATCCCAAGTTGTGTAATTGACGCATGTCAGATGGGAGTGTGGATTTAAATAGGTTGTTTCTAATGTATAAGACGGACAAACTTGTGGTTAAATTTAATAATGCAAAAGGGAATTCGCCAGTAAATTGGTTGTCTGAAATATCTAAATGGGACAGTTTTGTAAAGTTGGCAAATGAATCATGAATAGGTCCACTAAAATTGTTATTGCTAAGGCTTAGGTAGCTTAGTTGGGTTAGGTTTTTGATTGAATCCGGAAATTCACTTACGAAACAGTTTCTCGAAAGATACAGAGTTGTGAGTTGAAAAAGGTTTCCTAAAGAAGAAGGAATCTCTCTAGAGAGATGGAAATCTTTAAGAGTTAGGTTACGAAGATGCTGTAGTTTGAAAAGAACACTATTTGGTTTTAGAGAGTTGTTTAGAGGGATGAAACTAAGGTAAAGTGAAATCACCTTGCCGGATTTAACATCACACTTGACACCCCTCCAAAAGCAGCAATCAATACTCTTGTTCCATAAACTTATAGAGAGTTTTTGAGTTGGATTCATTTACCGAGAAATCATGTTTGAACTCAAGAAGAGCATCTCTCTGGTCTTGATGACAATAGTGGAGTATGGGAGAAGCAAGAGTACGCAGAAAGAAGAAAATAAAGACGAAATAACAAAAGGTAACAAGATGAGAAAAAAAAAATATTGGTTTGAAATCATAGTTATCTTTTTTTTTTTTTTGTGTTTTTGTTGAAGTGATAAGTTTTTCATCATCCATAGCATCTATTCTATAAATAACGACATGGAATTGATCATTTTGTGACCTCATGTACATATATTTATGTTGACATTAATATTTTCAGGACGAAAAGTGAACACAAGTTCGCCCACCGACAATGACATGAATCCCGCGTTATAAACATGAACACATATATAGTACAGAGTACACCTACCTAATAACCATGAGGCATGGCTTTGTCTCGTTCTTGCTTAGCATTATTTAGCTCTGAGTCTTATGTAAGTTTTATGGGCTTTCAGATTTTTGTCAACCTTCGCTACTTTAAAAAAATAGTCCAAAAGTAACAAAGCTACCATTCCTAATACCATTTTAATATTGGACTCAAAATAATATGACAATGTGACTAAGTTATGTTTGTAAGTCGTAGTGGTTGTTAGCATTACGAACAATGTTTCATATTGCTTCACTTTGTTTCACACCATTCTAAATTTCAAAATCATAAATTGGTTTCCTTCAATGTATAGATTTTTTATTGTGTGATTAAGCATTATATCTTTTCTTTTTAAATTGATTCAAAAATCATATCTTATATAAAAATTAACATTGCGATCTAAATATTATAGTTACGAAATATACAAAGAAAAAAAAAGAAACATATGAATACATTTACATTTTAGTTAATATTCACTAATCACTTATCATACTTTATGTATATAAAATATTTAAATAAAAAGATATCACAGAAATTTTTTTAATCATTAATATATATATATATATATATATCGAACTAAAATTTTAAAATTCTACTCTTAAACTTCACAGAAGAAGTAATTTCTTTAATAAAACCAAAGTTTCCATCAAAACTAAATAAAATTAAAATAAATATAAAATATTATACACATTTTTTCCACTATTAACTTTACCATCCGTGATATGCCTCAAAAAGTTTTCACATTTCCACATTGATCGACTAAAGTGGTCGGATTCTGTGGATTGGTCACATATTACCTTCATGAGTGCGGCAGTAGTACACACCTGTTGTATGGCCACAAGGATGAAGCAATGGCCTTCTAAAATTTCATATATTTATCACATTGATGGAAAAAGGCGATTTTCCATAAAGCTAATATATGATGGAGAAGCTGAGAAATGTAACATAATGTCAACATTGGTTTGGATAGAATCGATTAAGAAATGTAAATTTCCCTTTCTTGCCAAGTCTTTCAGGCTTCCTTGCCAAGTAATATATGCACTGCTTACGTGAACATTTAACACCGTAATTTCTCTTCCACTACTTGGTTTATCTTTGTGTTTTGTTTTTGCTGCTGCACATGGATTACAGGTGTGACTAACTTGGCAGTGACATGATAATTTTTTCCTAAAATTA